CCAATGGCCCCTTTCATTTCCAATTGAAGCAACAAGGAGATCAATAGAAATAGTTTTTAAGCAGAGCCTACATGGACCTTACTAAAAATAACGTTGGAACAATAAATGTTGCAGAGAATAAAGTCTGTAATGACAAAACTCAGTAGACATAATGAAAGTTTTAAAATAGCAACTGATTAACCAAATATAGTACTTTAGGATAGTAAAGATTGAAACCATTGTCACCTCTGTATCCAAGGTGGCTTGAAAACAGTAACTGATTAAATAATTTAGTTATTTTTAATTATATATAACACTCTAGGATGATAGTTGAGATAAAAAGCATTGTATGTGTCACTAAGCCTTTGGAATACAACAAAAATGTAAAAGTTGGTATTCTCTTAGCTCTGTATCCAAGTTGGCTATATACTTAGAAGACAGACATTAGACACATTTGATTTTACCCAAATCAGATGAGCTTTTTGGGCTTGAGTTTTATTTTATTATTATTATTTTTTTGTCGGTCATGGGGCTTGAACTCTGGGCCTGGGTGCTGTCCCTCAGCTCTTCAGCTCAAGGCAAGCACTCTACCACTTGAGCTACAGAACTACTTCTGGTTTTCTGGTGGTTTATTGGAGATAGGAGTCTCACGGTCTCTCCTGCCTGGGCTGGCTTTGAACTGTGATCCTCAGATCTCAGCCTCCTGATTAGCTAGGATTATAGGCGTGAGCTACCAGTGCCCGGCCTGGGCTTGAGTTTTAAAATGTGCATTGTTTCTTTTGGCTGAGGAGCCAGGTAAGTCTTGGTTACCTTAGAACTGCAGGATCACTCTTCTTAAGGCAATTTACTGTTACACTACCCAGAGCCGGGCTGCCTAGGCACAGAATTTTGCTACGTTTTTAGTCCAATCCCAACTTTCCTTCTTCCTTGTCAAGGAGTTAGGCTCACATTCTAAGTATAATTGATTACCAAGAGGGCTGTTTTCTAATGTTTGTCACAAGCAGCATAGATAATAGCTACAATTAAACTAAAAAAACCAAATAATTTCAGGAAATATCAATATTTAAGAGAAAAGCATTTTAGTTTTCTAGAAGACTTTTTTTTTTTTTTTGTAGGCCTTGGGGCTTTAATTCCAGGTCTGGGTGTTGTCTCTTCAGCTCAAGGTGAGTGCTCTACCACTTGAGCCACAGCACCACTTCCAGTTTTGAGAGTGATTTATTGGAGATAAGAGTCTAATGGATTTTCCTGCCTGGGCTGGCTTCTAACTGCAATCCTCAGATCTCAGCCTCCTGAGTAGCTAAGATGACAGGCGTTAGCCACCAGCTCCTGGCTCTCTGTTGTTTTTTTAATATGAAAACTTTTTTTTTGTTGTTGTTGTTGTCTTTTTGTGGGTCGTGGGGTTTGAACTCCGGGCCTGGGCGCTATCCCTCAGCTGTTCAGCTCAAGGCTAGCGTTCTACCACTTGAGTTAAAATGCCACTTCCAGCTTTTTCTGCTTATGTGGTGCTGAGGAATCAAACCCAGGGCCTCATGCATACAAGGCAAGCACTCTACCACTGAGCCACCTTCCCAGCCCAATATGACAGTTTTTATGTCTTAAAATAAGTTTACTTTGAACATGTTTAAATGCACAGACACACACTTGTGCACAAAAAGTTTTAAGGTATGCTTAGGTTTGAAAAATAAAAGTTGGACATAAGCTGGGTGCCCATAGCACGTTAGAATCACATGGTCAATGCTAGAAAAACAGGCTACAATAAACAAAAGACAAGGCAAAACTCAAGACACAAAACTTTTACTAACAAGCAGAATTTCTTACAGATAAATAAGACCTAGAGAGCCAAGAACAGGATATGTTGAGACATCTTTGCTAGCAAAGCACATTAGATGGGCAGGCCTCAGTTTCCAGGACCTGTGAAGAGAGGTGGCAACTTTGTTAGCAAGGCACATGAGCAGATGAATTGATCGCAGAACACTTCCTGGATGGGTAGAGAAAGGTGGGGAGTCACACAAAGCTAAACCCTTAGCCCACGATGTGGCCAGGATGGCTAATTTACTGAAGGCTTGGTGGAGCTCTGTTGAGTAAGCAAGAAAGCAGACAAGCAAAAAAAAAAGAAGAAGAAAGAAAGAAAGCAGACAAGCATAAAGGAAGGGACACAGAGACAAACAGTTTTAGAGAGACAGAAAGAGATAACGTTACCTTTCTAGAGGAGATGGCTGGGAGGCTTAGGAGACAGAGATAAGGTAAAGTGAGCAAAGAAAACCTGAATGTATGGAGGTTGATCAGTTATCATTGCCTTGGGAGAAACTGTCCAGATCTCTGAAAGCATTGTAATGTGGCCAGACTAGAGAGGTAGTCTGGTGAGGATCCGGGGCGTCCATGAGGACACAGAGGGAAGGAGCTCCGTCTGGGGTGCTGGGGCTATCCTCAAACTTCTTTAGCTAATTGATAAGTAAACTGAGCATGGAGGAGAACCATGCCCCCGGGAGTGGATGGGTCAGTGCCGTGACGCGGTGGAGGGTGTCGAACAAATGGCTCAGCAGTTTTACTGGGACACTGATTGCCTCCCTCCGCGTGTCCTAGCTGTCAGGGCTGTGGAGGCGGCACAGAAGCCTGCCGCTCCTAGGGGTCTGGTGGGGTGATCAGGCTGGTAATTTCTCCTTGGATGGAGCAAGGGACCGTTTTCTGACCAACAGGTTTTTGGTGTGTTTTTTTTTTCCAGTCCTGGGGCTTGAACTCAGGGTCTGGGCACTGTCCCTGAGTTTCTTTTGCTCAAGGTTAGCACTCTACCCTTGAGCCACAGCACCACTTTGGCTTTTTCTGTGTATGTGGTACTGAGGAATTGAACCCAGGGCTTCATGCGTGCTAGGCGAGCACGCTAGCACTGAGCCACCTTCCCAGTCCCAGGTTTTTGATTAAGGTATTTGGGACAGGTCAGAGAGAGAGAAAGGAGCATGAACGTGATCAGGGCCTTTAGTGCCTGTCACTCCTGAAAGGGAAAGAGGTGGGCTGGCATTGGAGACTGGTGAGCATGGAATCAGGTATGAGGCAGAGAGAGGAAGGAGCAGAAGAGGAAGGCGGAGGTTTATAATGTGCACAAGCAGATGCACAAACAAGCAGGGAGGGGGACACAGTAACTGTGAGTGCACTTTCGAACAGACAGACAGTTTTAGCTAAGAGAACTCAAGCCAGGTCCCTGCGACTCAGCCTGTATCTAACTTTTTTTGTTGTTGTTGTTGGTCATGGGGCCTGAACTCTGGGCCTGGGCACTATCCCTCAGCTCTTCAGCTCAAGGCTAGCGCTCTACCACTTGAGCCACAGCGCCACTTCCGGCTTGTTCTGCTTCATGTGGTGCTGAGGAATCGAGCCCAGGGTCTCATGCATGCAAGGCAAGCGCTCTACCGCTGAGCCAACTTCCCAGCCCCCTGCATCTAACTCTAAAGGGCACAAGCAGAGAGACCAGGGGGCAGGGGGTGAGGAGGGGAGCAGCCTGCTGGAGTGAGAGTGGGGGGGTTAAAGGAAGGAGGTGGTGGTGCAGTAGGGTCTGAGGGAGGAGGCGGTGTAGGTGGAGGAGGGGGGCCAGGAGAGGGGCAGTAGGGTGGGAGTTTATTGACCAGGTAAAAGGTGAAAGTATTGAGAGGCTTTGAGACTAGAAGAATTCGGCAGGGGAGCTGGACGTGCAGAATGGGCTTAGAGGGAAAAGGAAAAAGCTTGTATGAGGGACTCTTTCCGTTTTACCACATGCACACAGAAGTGACAAAGGTCCTGTAAGGTGCGGGGGTCAAACATGCCGTTATGGCCACTTTGAGCCATGGCCGAGTATATAGAGGGAACAAATGTGGTTACACAGCCGGGCGCTGGTGGCTCACGCCTGTAATCCTAGCTACTCAGGAGGCTGAGATCTGAGGATCACGGTTCAAAGCCAGCCCGGGCAGGAGAAACCGTGAGACTCCTATCTCCAATAAACCACCAGAAAACCGGAAGTGGCGCTGTACTCAAGTGGTAGAGCGCTCGCCTTGAGCTGAAGAGCTGAGGGACAGCGCCCAGGCCCAGAGTTCAAGCCCCACGACCGACAAAAAAAAAAATGTGGTTACACAGCCAAATAAGCCCGGAAGGCTTGAGATTGGGGGTGAATTTGAGGGGGGTGAGGTTGTTGGGGAGCCACAGCGGATGTGGGGGGGTCCCTCCCACGGTGAGGAGCCAAAAGCAGCCTGCGAGGGACAGCGGGTGTCCCCAAAAGTCTCCGGTGTGTGAGTGAGAAGGAGCAGGGGGGGAGTCCTCACCGCATTCCACATGTCCAGGCAGAGGCCCAAGAGGGAGGCCCAGAGCCTGGCAGCAGGGCTTCGAGAGGTCAGGAGAACTTACTCACCAAGGAAGGGCAGCTGATGCGAATGGCCGCTGCTGGATGTGAGGATAGAGCGCTCAGATGGGCAGAGTACCTCAGGAGAGTTTCGGAGGAGGGGTTCCGGAAGCAGCTCGATTCCCCGGGAGGGGGAAGGCAAGGTAGAGAGAGGGCCTGGACCAAGTGAAGGGCTTCCCCCGGGAGATCACGCCGACACGGGTCCCACACACAGGAAAAGGAGTTTAATGTCAGGAACCCAACAGGCACCTCGCGGGCTGGGAGCGTTTTACAGGGCTGATGCGCGTGGGCCTGAGAGTGGGAATTCCTGGCAGAGCTAAGGTTTAGGGTTGTAGCCACACAAACAGGAATTGCCTGGGGGCGGGTCTGTTTGAAAAGGGCTGTCATCTTATTTCGGGGAAGGGCTGTCTCCTGATTTCAGGGAAAGGCCATGCTTTACCACGAGGTCTAAGATGGCAGAGTGGCACCCAACATGGAGGAGGTTAGGCTAACAAATGGTACTGGGACCAGCAGACCGGAGGCCGGAGCCTGCCTGGTAACGCAGCCCAACCTGGCCACCCCTCAGGTAGACGCTGGCGGGGCCACATGGCGTCTGTGCATGGTCCAGCATTCTGTTGTGTATCTGGTTCAGCAAAGGCCTCTGGAGTCTGTTCTATCCCAGATTCCAAGATGGTGTCGACCAGGGAGAAGCTACACAGGTCTGTCTTAGTGGATACGTGGGTGATGGAGGAGGTCTCTGGCTTTGGGCTGGCCTTCCTGCCCCTTGGTGTCCACACAGCCTCAAGCATTAGTACCGAGGGGGCTGGTGCCTGGGACCAAGCCCGGAGCGTAAGCTACCCCGTCCACAACCCAGAAGGGCCAGGCAGGGCTGCCATGCAGGATGCGAGGTCCGGCCAGGACCACTGAGTCACCGTGGGGACAGAAAGTGGGGTTGTCCCAAAGAGAGGCGCCTGCCACCCCACACACGGGCAGGCCCCAGTCGCGGTCCACCAGACACTCCCGAGGCTGAAGCCAAGGGACGGCTGCACGGCATCAGCATGGCAGTCCCCCCCAGTGAGCACGCACCTGTCCCGCTGGCCATCTGCCCACCCCGGCCACTGCACTGTGCCAGCCCTGGACTTGAACTCAGGGCCTGGGCACTGTCTACTCACTTTTCTGCTCAAGGCTAGTGCTCTACCACTCGAGCCACAGCTCTACTTCTATTTTGGTGGTTCATTGGAGATACGAATCTCACAGACTTTGCTACCCAGGCCGGCTTCAAACTGCAGTCCGCAGCGCTCAGCCTCCTCAGTCACTAAGCCAGCTCTCATTTATGGGGCTACCGAAGGCCCTTGCCAGCGGCCCGTCCTCTCCCACGGTGAGACCGCCCTGCACTGCTGTGAGCCGGCGGTGTCTGCAGAGCTCCCCCTCGGGGCTGTGGGTTTTCTAACAGGCAACTTAAAAGATGTTTTTGCTGGGCCCGTGAATTAACAAAAAGTCGGAGTCTTGGTACCTGTGCTCTTCAGGTGGAGCCAGTCTCTCCTGAAGTCATTTTACAATCACCTTGGGCTCCAACAAAGAAGATTCACTGATAAGCATGGTGTGACCAGAGGCGAACTTCCCGAAGTACCTTCTTACCATCTTCAAGAGAACCGGACACCCTCCACCCCTTCAGAAACAGACTGAGTTAGTGGGCGGCCCACACCTTGTGGGGGGACTGTTTCAGCTCTGCAGACCTTTCTCACCCCTGCGCTGAACTCTTCCTATTTAACCTGATGCCAAAGTCTGCACGCCCAACCATGGCTGTAGGCGTCCTGAGTGCTGCCTTCCCATGCCGCCACGCACTGAATCTCTTTCCCTGCTCAGTATTTGGCAGAGGGGGGACAAGCAGCTGAACCTAACTTGGGACTCCTGGAGTTCGGAGCTGGCGTCTCCCAGCCCAGATTCAGCCTCACAGTAGCTGCCAGGACGCCCTGCAGGGCCGGGAGGAGCTGGGACAGGGCCCCAGTGGCCCGGGCCTGCTCCGCTCTGCCCCGGGTGCTCTGGAGGTGAGGGAGAGCAGGAACACGGGGCTGCCTGGACACACGCCCCACCATCCCCCCTTGCTCCTGAGGACCCTCCCCCTCCCCCCCCACCCCGGGACACTGCTTGCTCTGAGCTGAGGACGCCTTGCGCAACCAGGCCTGAGACACAGGCTGTCCCAATCCCAGGCCACACCTGGGCCTGCTCAGGCAGAAAGACTCCCAAGGGCCTCACGCCACTGAGTGCGCAGGCCCGGGGCTCTGGACCAAGCCCCCCTGCAGCACAGGGCCCAGGGCCCAGGCTGCGCTCCAGAGCCTGCGATGGGACAGCGTTGGACTCCCAGTCCAGGCATGAGGGCAGCGTGGCCTCTGTCCCCAGCCCAGACTGTGTCCCCAGGGCATGGCCCCAGGAAGAGGAGGGCAGGATGGGGTCACTCGGGCTGGCAGAGAAGCCCCCGCCCCGTGGTCCTGGTGCACAGTTCCGGGAGCAGCTCCGCTCTGCCTTTGAGGGATGGCCTTGCTGACCTCACCTGGCCTGGCACAGCCAGGGCCCCACAGGAGGGGTCTCAGGACCTTGGCCACTCTTTGTCTTTGCTGGTCCTGGGCTTGAACTCAGGGCCTGGGCCCTGTCCCTGAGCCTCTCTGCAATCAAGGCTAGCGCTCTACCCCTCGAGCCACAGCACCACCTCTGGCTTATTCTGTGTATGTGGAACTAGGGAATGGAACCCAGGGCTTCGGTTGTGCTGGGTGAGCACGGTACCACTGAGCCACCTTCCCAGCCCTTGGCCACCCATTTGTGTTTGAGCCTGCTGGGTTTGGCAAGGAGTGGTGTGGAGGGTGGCCAGGGGCAGTGGGGCAGGAGAGGCTGAGGGGGAGGGGTTTCAAGGGGGAGGGGGCTGAAAGGGAGGGCTTAGAGGGGGAGGGAAGCTGAGAGGGAGGGGCTTGGAGGGGGATAGGGCAGAGGGGGAGGAGTTTGGAGGGGGAGGGAAGCTGAGGGGGAGGGGCTTGGGGAAGAGGCGCTGGCAGCCCCTGGCATGTTTGTGTGCAGTGCATGTTCAGCGTGCTCAGGCACCTTAGGGAGACCCAGCTCAGAAATAACAAGGACTTGGCGGGGCTCGGTGGAGCACAGGCTTTATTAAACCATGAGGATGGAACCACGTAGTATGCATTCTCTCTTTTTTTTCCGGCTCTCCCTCTTTTTTCCCCTTTAGACATAATCTCACTCTAGCCAGGCTGATGCACACTGAGGTCCTCAGCCTCAGCCCCCAAGTGCTGGGGTCCAGCTGTGCCCCACTATACTGACTGCTGGCTTCTTCTACTCAGAGGAACTATCCGGTAACCAACATACACCACAGCTGAGTCTCTGCTCCACGCCTTTTTCTTGCTGCGTAGCACTGTCCATCCGTCACTCACCTGGAGAGGGAAATGTTGGTTGTTTACAGGCTTAGGTGGGACAAAGAAAGAGGGTACATATTTACAAAGCTGACAGAGGCTGGGACGGGTCCAGGAGGTGCAGTGCTTGCCTAGCGGGAGCAAGGTCCTGAGCTCAAACCCAAGCACTGCCAAAAGGAGGAGAAAAGAAAGAAGGGAAGCAAAAGAAGGAGGAGAAGAGGAGGAAGAGGAGGAAAAAGAGGAGGAGTAGAAGGAGGAGGAGGGGTAGGGGAAGACCAGCTCAGCATTCTTCGCCAGGTGTGCGTGGCTCACACCTGTCATCCTAGCTACTCCGGAAGCTGAGATCTGAGGATAGTAGTTCAAAGCCAGCCTGGGCAGGAAAGCCCTTGAGACTCTTTGCTCCAATTAACCACAAAAAAGCTGGACCAAAAGTGGTAGCCCACCAGCCTAGAGAGGAAAAAAAAAAAAAGCTAAGGGAGAGCACATAGGCCCAGAGTTCAAATCCCAGTCCTGGCACAACAACAAAAAGAGATGACAATGATGACAGCGTGGACCCAGAACACACAAGCCAGGGGGACAGGCAGAGGTGAGTGGGGACCTTCTCTCTGGAACCAGCCCTGACCCCCAAGCCCTGCCTTCCCAGCCCTGGCCCCCAACCTTAACCCCCAAGCCCTGACCCCCAACCTTGACCCCCAAGCCCTGCCTTCCCAGCCCTGACCCCCAGCTCTGACCCCCCAGCCCTGACCCCCAGTCCTGACCCCCAAGCCCTGACCCCCTAGCCCTGACCCCCAGTCCTGACCCCCAGCCCTGACCCCCAGTCCTGACCCCCCAGCCCTGACCCCCAGTCCTGACCCCCAGCCCTGACCCCCAGCCCTGACCCCCAGCCCTGACCCCCAGTCCTGACCCCCCAGCCTGACCCCTAAGCCCTGGATCCTTCCAATCTGCTCCAGCCTATGGTTCGTGGGCAGGCCCTGTGCGGCTCACGGGCAGGCCTGACGCGGTTCGTGGGCAGGCCTGGTGCGGTTCACGGGCAGGCCTGGCGCGGTTCATGGGCAGGCCTGGTGTGGTTCACAGGCAGGCCTGGCGCGGTTCATGGGCAGGCCTGGCGAGGTTCGGGGGCAGGCCTGGTGCGGTTCGGGGGCAGGCCTGGCACGGTTCACAGGCAGGCCTGGTGCGGTTCGGGGGCAGGCCCCGTGCGGCTCACAGGCAGGCCCGGCGTGGTTCACAGGCAGGCCCGGCGTGGTTCACAGGCAGGCCCGGCGTGGTTCACAGGCAGGCCCGGTGCGGTTCGCGGGCAGGCCTGGCGCGGTTCACAGGCAGGCCTGGTGCGGTTCCTGGGCAGGCCTGGTGCGGTTCAGGGGCAGGCCTGGTGCGGTTCGGGGGCAGGCCCGGTGCGGTTTGCAGGCAGGCCCCGTGCGGCTCACAGGCAGGCCTGGCGCGGTTCACAGGCAGGCCCGGTGTGGTTCGTGGGCAGGCCTGGCACGGTTCGCGGGCAGGCCGGGTCCGCATCACCGCAGTCAGCTCCCAGGTAGGTGGGCTCACGGTGTCCTCCTGGCGGCATAGGAGCCAGAGCGGATGGGGCTGCGTTTGGAGAGGGTGTGCGTGAGGGCTCCCGGGCTGGCAGCGGAGCCACATTTGTGCGCAGTGCATGTGCGGCCCGCGCACACACGCACGCACACAGACCCCTGCTCTACGACACTTTCTCTGTTGTGTCTCTTGGGCCTGGCAGGGCTGGCATCACGGGAATGCTGGGGGGACGATTTGGGTTTGGAGGGCGGGGACGGGGTTTTCTGCCCCAGCACTGTGGAGCTGGGCTGTCACAACCCCTTCCCACGGGTCTGTGCAGAGCTCAGGGTCCGAGTCCTCACACGCACCTGGCTGCGGCCTGGAGGCTGGCCCGGGACATGTGCTGCTGCCCAGTGTAGGACGGGTGCCAGTGGCAGGGCCAGGGGGCCGGTGTGGCAGAGGCCCGCATGGCAGGCAGCGTCGCGTGGGCACGGAGGGCCGGGACACTGGCCGGGCGCTGGCAGGCTGACCGGAGGCCAGCGTGCGGCCTTTCCCTGGAGCCTCAGTGCCCCTGAGCTGACGTGGCCCCCGCTGGGCGCGGCACTGCCCACCGTGGGGGCGCCAAGGCCTTCTCCCAGAAGCCAGGCAGAGAGATGGCCCCGACCCAGCCACGGGTCAGGACCCAGGGCAGTCATCTGGAGCCAGACAGCCTCGTGCTCCACCACGCTCTCCTGCGGGCGGCCCGCGTCCGCTCCCCAGCCCCAGCCGGGCGGCAGCAGCGCACAGAGCCGCTCGTGCCCCGGCCAGTGGCACTAGAAGCGTCCCTCGTTCTGTCCCTCTGTGGGGACAGCCACTGGCCTCAGCTGGATTACCCACGCTTCCCAGGGCAGGCAGGGTCTGGTCAGCTCCCAGCTCAGTCCTGAGAGGCAGGGAGGGTCCCGGGCGCACGGGCACCAGAGATGAAGGCCCCGCTGCTGCACAGGAGGCTGGGTCAGGGACTGACCGGAGCTCAGTGTGGGGGGACAGGGGGGCTGGGTGGACCACACGTGTCCCCCGTTCCTGCACTGAGCGTCTCTCCTGCACAGGGTGGTGCTGGGAGTTGAGGGGCTGGAAGAGGCCGAGGTCTGGGAGCCGGGTCCCCAGGGGGGGCCGGAGCTTCTACAAGGGGCTCAGCTGGCTGCGGGCAGCACGGGGGGGGGCCTCCAAGAAACCCCAGAGGCAGGGTCCCAGCTCCGATTCCAGCCCCCACCACAGGAGGGGTGGAGGCAGCCAGCGGGGCTTTGTTGGGGCAGCTGCTGACCCTCCCCAGGCAAGGGCCAGCTGGCCATGGGGTGTCCGAGTCCCCACCCCAGCGAGTTCTTTACCTTGGCCTGAAAGCAAGCCTCCCCTCACCACTGGGCCTCAGGGCGGAGGGGCCTGGGCCTGGGCCTGGGCCTGGCCACACTCCCTCCCGGGCAGCTCCCTCCGGGCCTAGGCCGGCTCCTGTGCAGGATGAGTAGATTTCTCCCTTCCACCCTTCCTGCCACACCCATCACCAGGATGCCCGGCAAACCCCACGAAGCGGGGTCCAGCCCCGACCGGCGCTCCTCTGACCCGCCCGATGGTGAGGGATCAGGGAAAACCATCCCAGAGAGGCCCACGGAGCCCAAAATGCCTGCGCGTCCCCGGTGGATCTGCACGGAGAGGGAAAAGGGGGGTCTGGGTGTGGCTAGTTTGTTTTTCATGGTGCTGAGGATGGGGTCTCTTCCCGGCCCTGGAACTGGAGTAAGAGGTGGACTTTGGCTCAGCGTCCCCCTGTAGATTCAATAACTGTGCTGAGACACCCCGGGAGCTGGTGGGTGACGACACACCGTACCTCTTCATTCTCTTTGCAAATCTGTTCATTAGAGTCAGGTCAGTCTGGGTTAGCCTTTGGCCTTGATTCTTCTACCCAAGCCTCCTGAGAGACGGTGCTACAGGCCTGAGCTACCAGGGTAAATATCCTTTTGCTTTTTTTTTTTTCAGTCATGGGTCTGAAACTCTGGGCCTGGGCGCTGTCCCTTAGCATTTCAGCTCAAGGCGAGCGCTCTACCACTTGAGCCACAGCACCACTTCTGGTTTTGATGGTTTATTGTAGATAGGAGTTTCACAGACTTTTCTGCCTGGGCTGGCTTTGAACCTTGATCCTCAGATCTCAGCCTCCTGAGTAGCTAGGATGACAGGTGTGAGCCACCGCCACCCAGCTGCTTTTTTTTTTTTTTAATTGAGCATGCTTTACTTGTACAAGAGAAGTTCCATTCTGACACGTGTGTTCCCATCAAACTCAGTGTCTGTCACTCTTCCTAGACATCTGTTTTTAGATATTATCCGGGTGCATACAGTGTCCACGGCACCTCGATCTTGCTGCTCCTGGACCTCGGGAGAGGAGGGCCCAGGTCCAACCCTCGCCAAAGCACCCAATCTTCACAAACTCAGCCGGGAGCACAGAATTCTCTGGGCAATTTCCCATGGCGTATATGCCCCTGCTCTCTTTGACCACCTGAAGGCGTTTGTTTGTTTTGTAATCCTGCTATTGTTGATCTGTCGCAATTGTGGGACATAAGCAATCCGTCCAAGCTCCGATTTCTGTGGTTTGTTTTGTTTTTACCCAGCAGTCAGCTTTTGGCTTTGATCTACCACAGCTTATTTTCTATTTAATGAAAGCTTTGTTCTGGCTGGGGAGCCGCCCCTCAGTGTACCCAGGTTTTGGCAGCCAGAGCTCCCTTCAGGGCTGGCTGTGTGTGCAGTGCTCGGAGTACAGCGGCCCTGGGGAGTGGCCCTCGCTCCTCCGGGGATGTCTCTGTCTGTGGGAGTGGTGGGGGCCCTGTGCGTGGCTCCCCAGGCCATGGACGGGACGGTGCGGGCTTGTGGGGGAAGGCAAGGTCCCTAGGCCGCTCCCACCTCCCAGGCCCAGACCCTTCATTCCCTGGGGCAGCGTCCTAGGGTGGCCCCCGTCACACCCCCCCCCACGGAGCCTGGGGTCCCGGACCCCTGAGCTGAACCCAAAGCCCCTGTGCGCAGACCCCCCCAGGCGAGTGGCCTGAGCCAGGGCAGTCCTGGTGTGGTCAAGACCACGGGTCCCCACTGCCAGCACTGGCTGACCAGCCTGTGCTCCAGGCCACCTTGGAGGACACCCCCCCGACCTTCCCCCTGCGGACACCCCCCCGACCTTCCCCTGCAAGCACCCCACCCGACCTTCCCCCTGCGAGCACCCCCC